GACATCGACGCCAACCGCCACTACTGTGCGTGTCTTGCATTCAACGAACCCATTGCTATCCATCCGACTAAACACGACGACGAAGACATCGACGACGAGTCCATCACATCGATGGAGGGCTCGACCAACGCCTTATGCACTGGTGTTCAGCACCACTCCATCATGTATTCCACCAAATGTCTCGTTTTGGTCTCTCGTTTCAATTACAAAGAAGCCTTAAAGGTATCGCACAATTGATCCACAAAATTGATGATATCATGTCATGTCATCTGTTAATGATTGATATGTTTATCTCATGTTTACGTTTGTTATCTCATGACAGAACTGTTTGACAATCATATACACTGTTTATATCGATAATATGGACTTCTCATTGGAGACGATAGTAAGCAATATCCTCGCCTGCGTTGATGTCCCGCAACCAGGTATTGATCCGTGTATTGAATACTGTATATCATGTGCTAAACACACAAATGCCATATTCAGGCGGACCTCAGATACGATTCTCAATCGGCGCGAACGACCGTCAGTTCCTTCAGCCCCCTCTGAGCCCAACCATTCCGGTCACAAACACTACGGTTTATAATTTGTTTGAAGAGTTGGGCATTCATTCGGTCGTGAATCTGGTCTGTGCGGCGATGACTGAGCATAAGATCCTCTTTCACTCGCGTTCGTACACCCGCTTAACGGACGCCTGTCTCGCGGTCACAGCACTCATGTATCCGTTTGTTTACAATCATATATACATTCCGATTCTGCCGTCGCCTTTACTCGAAGTCCTGTCAACTCCGACACCATTTCTGATGGGTATTCACTCGTCGCTGAAGAACGAAGTCACAGATCTTGTAATTTATTCTTATAAATAGTGTATTTTATTTACAATTCATTCATTTTGATTCATTTGATATCTGTTTGACAGTTGGATGTAATAGTAGTGGATTTAGACGGCGGTTCAGTAACGATACCGGATTGCCTACGAGTGCCAGTTTTTGACGAGCCTTTAAATTCTCAATTAATTACTCATTTATGTCATGTAATTCGTCCGCAACTCATACAAGCGGACGATGCATTTCCTTCTAGTCTTTATAAGCCATCGACCCCTCAATTCCTTGTAATTATTTGCCGTTTCTTTTGATTCAATATTTTATCTAAAGTTATGGTTATTTTTTAGGACAAAGAAATTAGAGCCATATTTTTGCGGACATTCACTCAAATACTTCAGGGCTACCGATCATGTCTTACAATTACACGCATTCATCCAAAACCAATCATTACTTTTCATAAAGTAATTGATAAAACATTTCTTTATGTTATAAAAATTAATTTTTTTTAACATTGATTTTAGGCCTCATTTTTGGGTCAAAGAAATTTTGTTGAAAATGAATTTGTTGTTGCAAATGAGCTGACATACAAAAAGCATTGTAAACAAGTCCTTTCCCCTGAAGGTATGTCTGTTACACTAGAGAAACTACTTCATTAATAATTGTGCACAAAGTGAAATCTGGTTTACGATTGGTAATTATTCTTAGTTATATTCAACGCTTCAAACTTTGTTCAAAGAAGAGGCAAGAAATCCGGATTTGGTTTTGCAACACATCCGAGACTTAGCGCAACAATTCTATACCAATGAAAACCCGAACCCACAGAACCAGTCGTCGAAAATCCCGTTACCGACCGACGGGGCGTTCACTCGCATTCATTTGCCTCCCTTTCCCACACTGAACGCCGAAACGGTTCAGGAATTGGTTGATAACGAACAGATCAAAAAGGAGATGACAATCACCAGACGTCTCAGCAATAAGAATATGAACGTTAGAATAGTGCCGATGGGAACACCCATCTCAGCGGTCAATGATATATTTGGTGCCAACGATATCATCACTAATTCTGCCCGAAGGCTGGAAGTGATGCGCAATTGTATTAATTGTATTTTTGAGAACAAAATATCGGACGCGAAGAAGACGTTTCCGGCGGTTCTGCGGGCGTTGAAGACGAAAAACGCACGTTTGGCTCTCTGTCAGGAGTTGGCGTTTCACATGTCGGGCAATAAGGCTGTGTTAGAACACCAACAGTTCGACCTCATTGTCCGTCTCATGAACTGCGCTCTTCAGGACGACTCGCATCTCGATGTGAACGGAGTGGCGGCCCATATGTTGCCGCTGGCTGTCCGGAAGACAGCGTTTGATACGTATTTACACTGGGTTAAACGGATGTGAACGTAAGTTCTGGTGCGGCAAACCAGATTGGGAGTCAAGACCCTTGTCTGGAAGATAAGACTACAGCTTTTTGTTCAGAAAAACTTATACAAAAAGAGCGAAGAATCGCCACCAGAGGAGTCGACTGATGTGAATGCGAGAAACAGTGCAACCGATTTGAAACGGGCGTCAAATTTACAACAAAGTCTTGAATTGTCTGCGTTAGAGATAGCGGCCGAACAAATGAGATTAGGGCCGCAATTGACTCCCGAGAAGTTGGAAACGCTGGTCATCGACGAGAACTCAGTGGTCTTCGCACAAGTAATTCGTTACGCGGACCGAATGGTAGCCATGAGAGTGCCATTAGACGCCGCCCACAAGACTTTCAAGGGCTCGTCAGAAAGTGATAACACCTCGATCTCAAACCTAACCAATTCTAACGCTTATGACGGCGGCAGCGGTTCTAACGGTTCTAACAATAACGACAACGAATCTGGCTTTGAAGAAGACAATCATCACTCGCATAGTATCAGTCACTCAGAAATAGCGGCAAATGTTATTAAGTTTGTGACCCGTTTTGCCGACAAAGTGTGTACCGATAGCAGTGTGAATGAAGAGCACATCAAACAATTGCATCAAATGATTCCACAATTGGTTTACATGCAAATGGAAAGTCTTGAGTCGGTTTGGCGCGAAAGCAAACGCTTGCCGCCCATCACGAAGCCTAAGATCACGACACCTAACTTATTGGTCGGCGAAGAACTCACACTCCCTGGCCTTCGGGCGTATCTCATACACGACGGTCGCGATGAGGGGCAGTGCGGAGTGCCGTTCGGCACACAACTGTTGCCCACCGAAGGCGCTATATTTGTCTCTAACTATCGAATTATATTCAAAGGTCGTCCGTGCGATCCGTTCGCATCCGAATCGGTTGTTGTCCGCAGTTTTCCGATCGCAACACTCACTAAAGAGAAACGAATTAGCATTCAGTCCATCACATCCAACAATGTTAGGATTGATCGGACTTTTTCGGGGCTCAGAGAGAGAGAGAGAGAGAGAGAGTTTAGAGCGCTAAGCGTTGGATTCGTATTTGATTTGAAGTTCACTTTTTTGGGAGAAAATATCCATTAATTTCAAAGTAATTCTGATGTTAGAGTAGAGACGGAAACAATTTATGTGCGAACAAAGTAAGAGAGAATATAACAACTCTATGAATAGTGTTGTGAAGTACAATGTATTGTAGGGTAAAGAATAGGCTACACAAGTGAATCGCCTCTAACTTAAAATCGTTTGAAGAAAAACGTATTATTATTAGTTCATGCCTTTCGGCCACAAATCACTTTAGAGTTAGTTTTTCGGACACTCTCTCAATGTAAGCGTTAATTATTGCGAGTGCTCTCAGAGTACGGCTAAACCCCAAAACATAAGCCGTAAAGAGCAGCCAATGGGTCACAGACTTAATTGAGCACAACATCCACTGTATTGTAATTGTCATACATTATGACTCTATGCTTAAGAATAGCGTATAGTATTGTATGAAATAGGGTTTTGGGGCAGCAATTGTGGCACTCATTGTAGGCTTCACTAAGTTTTGGACACGAAAAGGGAGATCTCATGGATGCCGGCCTTAAATGGATGGACACTGTTATCAGTGTTTGTTATCTTTTAGAGCAAATGTTGTATTGCTTAACAATGTATCTCATTCTGTATCTCAGCGTGTGATGTGTGCCCACAGATGCGGCCAAACCTAACATTCACGCAGACATGGCGTCCGAGAATCTATTAAAAGCCTTATATTATGAAAGCTATGGATATGCTATAGAATTAAGTTCTGGGAAATCAATTACCAAATGATTAATTAGTAGCGCTTCGGATCAACAATGAGATGCTTTAATAATTCATTCGCTTCTTATATAGGGATGAGATATAAGATATAATAAATAAAACGAAACTTCATTAGAGTTGGCCATCAATTCTTTCAATTCTTTTATTGATTAATCTTTTCGTATAAAAAGCTTAAATTTATAACAAAAAATTCAATATTAAAGCAAATAATAATACAATAATTCAATTTACAGTTTACACAAACAAATATAATTATTTTTATATTTTAAATAATAAACAGTAAGTTTTGATTTATAAAAAACAAACAAAAAATATTTGTTAAACGACTAAAACATATTTTAAATAACATAATAATAATATTTATAATAAAGTTTAAGATTCTGTTATGTGTTCGCACCGAATGAATGAATAGCAAAATTGCATAAAACATGTATAAAAAGTCATCAATTCATTGCCTAATTATTCAAATGTAATAATAATTAAAAGTATCAATAATTTAGATTTTCATTTTTCATAAAAAAATATATAATCTATTGTTCACTGAAGACAGGCCTGAATTTTTTCCACCCATTCCTGTCCCGTATGGCTGTTCTGTGCCATAAAATTATAGGTCCGACGAACTAATTTCATCTGCAAAGAGAAGATAATTGCATTAGACATCACACACAACAACAAGACAATCAAATTAACGCATAATTTATGAGCAAAACTAACAGAAAAAAGGTTTAATGAATAGAAGACAATAAATCATTGCAACAAAAACTAAGAGAAACTTAAGACAATACGAGAGGAAACTCTTTTGCTTACATCAAAGTTCTGTTGTGTTGTGTTGTAATTAACAGCCAATACTTCTCCCAAATCGATAAAGCCTTTACAGTGCGGGTCGTCCTCCGAGTCGTAATATCTCAGCTTTTAATGCATAAATAAAAATACATTTTTTGGGTTAAAAAACTAGTGCTTTAATACTGATGAGTGTCTCACTCTCTGAGCATTTTTACCTGATGTTTGGTTGAGTCCAACACAAACCACCGGATTTTCCAGCCCTTAAGTAGAGCCCCTTTCTTATAGAGATATCCCTCGTAAGTGCGGTTCTCTGAGACCAGTGTCGAGAAATTACCATAAAATGTGTTGGAGTGCTGAAGAGTGCCGTCACGGGACTCATCGTTAGAATCGTGTCGCTGTTCGTCAGGCACTTCGTTGAGCACCTCATGAGTGGTACTCCTCTGCGAGACAGTCGATGAGGCCATACCCGAGTCCTGTGGGGCCGACATCTTTCTCTTTGGCTTACAGTTTTTGGTCACCATTTCAGCGCATTTCTCGTGACAATTGAAGCCACAATCGACGCATTTGAGGCCAGTCTTGACGATACCCCACAACACGTGTCGGCAGTGATCGCATTGCGTGAGAGTCGTGTAGTTATACTTTTCAAACTTATGGTTTCGATTCATATAGATTTGATTACTGTTATCACTATTGTTAGCACCCATTCCGGCCATTTTGCCCCGAATTAACAGATCTATTGTCGACCGCTTGTGAGTGCTGTACGTCAGAGAGCGACTGCTAATCGACTCGTGAATATCGGTACTCAACGGGATTTCGATTTTGTCCCAAACGGTGAACCACTTCTGCGGCATATAATTGAGTTCTTCTTCGAGACCTCTGATGGAAGTCAACATATTTTGGAAACAATTTGGCTCCGAATGGATGACTGAGTCGTAACACGAGCTGATATTCTTGCGACGGGTTTTGTCCGAGTCATTAGTGGTCGCCTCAACCACTTCCTGGCGCTGGTGTTCCATATCTACCACTTCTATGTCATAACTCGGTCCGTGAGATAACTCTTCGCTCACATAATAGTCCCATATTTTGAGCGAAGAGACACTAAATGCGGGTCGAATGACAGCGGCGTCGCTACTCATCCCCTCTTGGCTTATGATCGGCACGTAATAGAAGTTGAAGAATAGCGACGATTTGGACCATATTTTGGTCGCGTATTCCCAGAAAGAGGTTCCGATGTAATTGAAGTTTTGAGCGCCGTTTGCGGTTAGCGTTGATTTATTGGTACCACTCCTGAGTGACGTGTCTTCTTCGTCATCGGAAGACAATTCGTCGTGTTTTGACGATTGGCTGCACTTAATGTCTTCGTTAATCCAACCGACGTCTGAGCGCTCGCTCTCGCAGTCCAATAGAAATGTACGGAAACGACACGAAACGTAATGATAGGCCAAGAATTTGAGAAAATATTGATTGAACTCAAAAGAGAGTGGAAACTGATCGTGAATTTGATGCACAATATCGAGGAATTGAAGGAATATGGGGGCAAAACCAGACGCTAGAGTGGCCGCCGTGTGATTGGACCGATGACTGAATCGGTGTCCAAATGCGAGCCATTCCTTCTCAATAAGAGTGCGAAAGCCATCGAATGTGCGATAATAGGGGTCGAGACATAACTGGGCCACTGATACGATTTGTGGCACAAAATCCCAGCCATCTTCGAGACACACCATAACAGATGAGCCCTGAATGTCGATCAGATCGACGATTGCGCCACTGATTTGCATAATTGTGTGCATTTGTGTTAACCATTCGGAGCTTTCAAATTGATGCAGAAATGACTGCTCGGGGTCTGTATTGTTGGGTGTAGTGGAGGGCAGCGCCGCTCTCATCAGTTTCTTGAAGCTGGTCTTCACGGCCCGCACCTCATGGAAGTCGACGGGAATGAAATCGCAATTATTGAATGATTCGGTTTTGATTTTATTGATTTGATTCTTCTCTCCGAATATGTAAAGAACCGCTCGATTTAGGTTTGGCTGAGAATCAGACGACGAAGAAGTGGGCGAATCGGTTGGACAACTCATTCGTTGCTTATCTTTAATGCTTGTGTTCGACCACTTCTGAAATTGTTTGCCCATTTGGGAACCAATGGCTGATTTTCCGCCAGAGTTTCTCAATGTATTCATCGCCCGATGGAATGCGGCGGAAGTGCCACCACTTATGGCCCGTCGAGTGCTTTCCGGTGTCGTTATGGATATATCGCGCGGATTGAGAATAGAGTTGACGCTAAGAGTGGATCCGTTCTCTAGTATTCGGTTTTGATGTCTTGTGAAACAAGAAGGCGTCACTCTTACGATCCCTGATATGAACTTTTCGTTCTCGATGTTTGTCGACGTTTCGGACGAGTGAACGGCGCCGCCGGACGACTGGCCCTTCAGAAGACCGATGACACCCTTGCCGTGAAAACAACTGCCTCTGAGTAGCAGTGCTTTAGTGCGCGGATGTTTCCAAGTGATGGCTGGGAAGCGATAGTGTCTATAGAAGCGACTCATGCGTCGAATGGCCTCATCGCTGGTACTGTAGGGCACGACTATGAGTCCCGGATAGCTCTTTGTGACCGAATAGTTGGCGTTCACGGCAGAGATGCGGAAGCTCTCGATCACTGTATTAGATCGCGAGAGCTTTGTTGTCGAGGCGTTCAAACTGTAATAACTGGCGATCGAACCCAAGCCTAGTCTCTGATAGTCTTTAACATAAGACAGTTCTTGCAATTTATCGAGTGTTTTGTTGTCGTTATTGGCGTTCATGTGATTCAACACAATGTGTTGCGACGACGAAGACATTTGAAGAGTACTCGTCGTGTGAATACTTAAAAGCGATTCGCTGTCAACAGACTTGTGGTCTTCATTCATATCCGAGTTGATACTCTTCTTGGGAGAGCCCATCGTTTTGGCCATTCCTGGTATGAAACCGGAAGAGTCGGTAATGTATTTGTTTTTGCGGTTATTCTTTGGTTTGAATCCAGCCCTTTGTGCGGTTCTCAAGAGTGTCTTCTTCGCCAACCCCTTGAACGTGGAGTTCTTCTCCTTATTCTTCTGGAGGTGAAGGAGTCTGGTCTGAGCCATACTTAGTTGGGAAGTGAATGTAAACAAGTGGAAAATAGTGGGCGGCGTTCGCTCTCTGTTAATACATTTGCGGAAATTCTCGATCTCGTCGGACGAGACCTCTTCGTCGAAGGCGACGCGGATTAACTGAAACGTATTGGACCGGAGCTGAAGGCCTTCCTGCAGGAACTGGTCGATGGATGTGATGGACTGAATGCTAATTCGTTTCTCTTTAGTGAGTGTTGCGATCGGAAAACTGCGGACAACAACCGATTCGGATGCGAACGGATCGCACGGACGACCTTTGAATATAATTCGATAGTT